GGGGCAGGAAGATGAGACACAGTCATATAAAAGTACATTTTTTTTGAGCCATACCATACTTTAAAAAGAAAGGAGGCCTGGGGTATGAATTCACTGACCTGTATGGTCCTTTTTTGGTATAAAGTACATCATCAACTAAAATTAATGCTTAATTCAAGTGTCGAGGGATAAGTGAGGAACCCTAAGAACCAACTCCAAAGCGGTGAGCTTTACCAAAAATAAAACCTGATTTTGAAAAAGAAGTTTTTAAATTGAGGGTGGGGAATATATATTGAGGAGTATATATTCTTAGTATGATATCTATAAGTTGGGGTGACTATTGCCCAATTTGACTTTGTGCAATGAGTTTTTTCTCAAGAGCAGTCATAAGCTGAGCCCTCCTTTATTCCTTTCATAAAATGCTGCCTGGGCTTGGAAAGAGAAGTCGTGACTGGATATGTTCCTGGGAAATGAAGCCAAATGAGCCCAGATCCTCAAACCAAGACTCTAAAGTCTTTAGTGGTGAGATAGGGAAAGCTCAGGGATCAGGGGGAGAAGACCTAAAATTTGCCAGTTAGTACTGTATGTTTCTGAACAAGTTAATCGGAGTCTCTCTCTGTGTGGAGATTATGGCCATTCATGAACATACTAAATTGTAAAGGCTACAAAAATATAATGGATGGTTATTCTTGGCACTGGCTTTGCCACTAAATACACTGGGATTCTTGAGCTTTCTAACATCTCAGGCCTGCCAACTGACTATTTTTACTTTGGCAGTTACCACCAAAACTGTCAAGCCTCAGCCTCATTAGCACAGCATAATCATTTTTGTCTAACTTTGAGTCATTCAACATACCTCAGGACATATACCTAGGTTGCAGGTTTGATTCCTGGTCAGGGCGTATATGGGAGACAACTGATCAGTGTTTCTCTCACATTGATGTTTCTCTCTCTCTCTCTCAAATCAATAAAAAACATATTTTCGGGTGAGGATTTAAAAAAGAATTTTATCAAGCTTATATGATGGAATGATAATATTTTGAACCTATAGGGTTAAATAAAATGTACTATTAAAATTAATTTTACCTATTTTTAACTTTTAATATGGTTTTAGAACATATATGGCTTGCACTATATTTTGACTGGACACAGCTGATCTAAAGGATGACTAGACGTTACTGAAAGCAGCGTGGGACTGAAGTGAACGTGGAGGGGAGACAGTGATGGGCTGAGAGAGGGTTCTGTGTAGTATGTGTAGAGGTCCTGAAGCAAGAAAGAACATGGCATGCTCAAGGAAATAAAAGAAAACCAAAGCCTTGCAGGTCACAGTAAGGACTTTGAACTTTATCCTCAGATCAATAGGAAGTAATTGAGGGTTTTAGTTTTCAGGAAGTTTGCAGTTAATAAATGAGAGCAAAAGAGCTACAGCTGAATATAGCAAGATTCTCATAATCATCCGCCCCCTCCCCCCAAAAAAAGGAAGAAAAATGGGGTGGAGGTATTTGGTTGGGAAATACCATTGAGAGGGAGCAGGACCCTGCCCACCCATCACCTGCCCTTGTTTCTGCTCCAGGATATGAGGCACAAACACCCCCAACTAAAGAGAGAAGCAGACAACTGGGAGATAGTTTGCATTCAGTTCACTTTCAGCTTGGTTACAGCTCAGAGCCGGAGGAAGCATTCCAGGAAGAGTACAAAGTTGAGTGGGAGTTTGATTACAGAGTTGGGACTCTGCAGGCTGGTGGCAAAGGGTTTAGTGAAGGAAGGACAGGAACGAGGAAGCCCAGTACATAGGGGATTCGAGGGTCTGTTCCTTGAAAGAGTGTGTGGGACAATAACAGGGAAAAGCTTGGATTGGAGCCTGGAGGCTTGGGGTCTGACCATCTCCTGGGGTATGATGGCCTCCCCACTCATCTGTGCCAGGAGGACATTTCCCTTTAAGTCACAGGTCATACACTAGCAGACCCAATCTAGCATGCACACATGTTTTGTTTAACTCACATTTAAAAACTGTATTCAAATGAGTCGCCAGTATTTGTATCAGGTATCACATGAAAATGCGCATTTCCAGGGTTTTTGACAATTGGAAGATCTAGGAACCCCAGTTCTTCAGTCTCACAGGGAAGTGGGCTGGAGCTAAGTAGTAGCTACTCCTTTTTTTTTTTCCTATAATGTAAACGTTTAGGAACTGAAATGATTATTTTTCTTTTTTTTTTAAAGACATTTATGCTAAAAATAAAATGGAATCCATAGGTTCTCTGTGGTCTGAGTCTGAGTCTTGCATTCTCTCCAGTCTTTGGTTTCAGCAGTCCCATCTTCTTTCAGTTCTTCAGAAAAGTTCTAAGAATAGTACCCTTAGTTCAGTGAGACCAGGATATACGAAAGCTTCGTCCATTTACAGAGTGGCGTCCATCAGAGAAGCATGTATCTTCCCTGCAGCTCACCACTGTTCCCCCCACCTCTGTAGCCCAGCCTCACTGCTTTTTCACACATCTGTCTATCTGGCCACTGGGACATGTGAGTTTGCAGGCCATGCCTTAAACTTTAATCAAACTGACGAGTGTTGATGAACGCTTGGTATACCAGCTCCATGAGGATTAAAATCTTAAAGATTGCTAACTTTAAACCTCAACAGTGCCTTTGTAAATATTTAGCAGTTAATTAAATGGGAAAAGTCAGTTGATAGCATCAAGGAGGAGAAAGGGAAGTGACTTTTAGTTTACCTGAGATAGATGCACTAGCTTGGGACCTTACTCTATATTCACTCCCTGTACATGAGTGAGGGAAGGGTATGTATTTGTATAGTCTTTGTGGCTGTAGGACTGTTTCTCTGCTCCAGTGTATATATTTTAAGGAGGGGGGGGGGCAGAGAAAGTGGTTTATTCCTTAAACAAAGTAAGCAAATGCAGCAGATTAAAATACTGCAAAGCTTGGTGGTAGGTGCCTGAGTGTTCCTGCTATATATATATTTTTTATTCCTTTGGTAGAGTTCATAACCAAAAGATGAGGAAGTGCTTCTGCCTACAAAATTTGTCCATCATATTCCTCTCCATTTGAAGGGAAAATAGCTCATTAGCGTAAGAAGGTTTTTCTTGCTTGACAAGACAAAGTAAGGGCTGAGGCAGAGGGACAGTTCATAGCTTCTTTTCTCCACCTCCCCTCCCCCCACCACCACCACCAAAAAACAAGACAATCTATGTTATGAGAGATGGATTCAGTTTCTGATTTTCTAAAGCTTCTACTACTTGGTGGATTAGGGCTCTTTAAAAAAACAATGCAAAAATACCTTTCTTTTGTAAATTACATACACACCCATGTGAATTCATTATTTGGTCTCCCGGTGCCTTAGAAGGTGTTTGTTCCAGCTTGAACTTCATTAGCGTCATGATCATTCTGCTTCTGGACACCAGTAATCATCTAGCTAAATACTGCCTAGATGCCTTCATCCCATTCTCTGTTCTTCTGACACCCTGATGCCCCTCTGGGCTGAGGGTTGAGGCCTCACTCTCCCTCTGGAAATTCTCAGTGAGGACCTTCAGCTGAGCGCGGAGCTCAGGATCTTCCAGTGACCTCATGCTTTTCTCCCTGCTCCCCATGTGCTAAAGCTTCAAACCTGGTGCTTGACAAGAAAGGGAAATCATAAACCTAAGTGCTAGAGCCTTTCAACTTGCAAAGCACCTCAACCTGCTGCCTTCCTCAGGTCCTCCGTTTGCCTTCCACTGAAGCCTAATTTTAAAGCCCTTTCCCACCTTCAGAATCTTTAGGAATTAGTAAAGAAAGGAAGAAACTAGCTCCCGATTCCAATTAACTTTGTCCCTGAGGGTTATATAACTGTGGCTGAATCACAGTTTTCGTGGGACGGAAAATCTGCAGCTCATGGAAGTTGCCAAGAGTGGCAGAAGACCAGGCCCCGGTGTTCATGTAATCTTTGCTCCCCAGTGTGGAAAATGCTGGGGTGGAGGTGGAGAGTGCTGGGCATGTAAACCAAACAGCATTTGTCAGTGAAGGTACATCCACTGCAAGGTGAGTGAAGGCAGGCCGACGCAGCCAGGCAGCAGAGTCCTTGGAGACAGAGTGGCCCAGCAGATCTCTGGGGCAGCAGCTTAACTTAGCAAGTTCAGAACATTTTTTGGTTGCCTGCTCCACTTCACTAGATTCTTCTCCCGCTGAGATGTGGCTGGTGTGTGTAGGACAGTTGAAGGGTTGGGAGGAGGAGGAGGCAGGGCCTCCTTATCACTGAGCTTCTTCTCACTCCTGCAGACCTGCTCCTGTAATCTGTTTCTACACGCAGCAATTGCTCAGCTGTGTGCCTTTGATAACTTGTTTTGCATCCGGATTTATTCCTGCCAAAAGCACTATCTTGAGGCAGGTGAGAGATTATTTAGGTGAATACCATGTTTGGTGTTAACGTCACTTTAAATCACTTTTAATGTTGTTTGAATGTTGAAACTTAGATTTTCTTGTATGTGGTGTAGCCTGTGGCATTGGAGAAATAGTTGCCAACAATCATTGATTTAAATACCAGATAAATGTGGTGGTTTATTGAATTAACATGTTTAATGACATCTCCAGTGAGGTGAGGCTGGTATATATTCTTTTTCCACCAGAGGAAAAACAATGAGAAGGATGCTGTCAATCTAGAGTCTGTTACTAGTCATCTTTGTAGACATCTCCACCTCATTCTGGTAAAGCCTCTCTCCTGTAAATAAACTGCCTTTGATCTGGCGGAAACGCAGCATGCCATTAGAATGAAGTGTTCTCATTATTTTACATCATGCAATTAACATACTATCTAGCCATCAGAAAATTTAAGTCAACTAGGTTTCCTGTAATTAATTATCTGTAGAATATGCCTTTATGTGCCATAGTGAATGAGTTGCCGGATGTCTGATATCAAAACTGTTTAAAGGAATTGCCCTAGTTTATTTTAGAAATTGGCTGTGGTAAGGTTGTGCTTCCTTTCCCAGGTAGTCAGCTGAATGAAGAATATAACTTATGCGTTTTGTTTCTTCTCTTTCCAGATGTATTTCTGTCATTGAACATTGGCCCATTTGAAGGCACGAGGGAAGCTCAGCCATCAGTATGTCCAAGTACAAACTGATCATGTTAAGACATGGGGAGGGGGCTTGGAACAAAGAGAATCGTTTTTGTAGCTGGGTGGACCAGAAACTTAACGATGAAGGCTTGGAGGAAGCTCGAAACTGTGGGAAGCAACTCAAAGCGCTAAACTTTGAGTTTGATCTAGTATTCACATCCGTTCTTAATCGGTCCATCCACACAGCCTGGCTGATCCTGGAAGAGCTAGGGCAGGAGTGGGTTCCTGTGGAAAGCTCCTGGCGTCTGAATGAGCGTCACTACGGAGCCTTGATCGGTCTCAATAGGGAGAAAATGGCTTTGAATCATGGCGAAGAGCAAGTGAGGATCTGGAGAAGAAGCTACAATGTGACCCCGCCACCCATTGAAGAGTCTCATCCTTACTACCAGGAGATCTACAGTGACCGGAGGTATAAAGTGTGCGATGTACCTGTGGATCAGCTGCCACGGTCTGAAAGTTTAAAGGATGTTCTGGAGAGACTCCTTCCCTTTTGGAATGAAAGGATTGCTCCTGAAGTGTTACGTGGCAAAACCATTCTGATATCTGCTCATGGAAATAGCAGTAGGGCACTCCTGAAACATCTGGAAGGTACCATCTTTATGCTACTACTTATTAGAGGTTGCTAATGTTATTGTTACACCTTAATCTGGGAAGGACATGCTGTTTTAGTTAATAATGCACAGTTTACATAATAGACTTTCCTTCCCTATTCTCTTTGGTCACTTTAGTCTTTTAAGAATCATTTTGGTCTAGAAGTAAAAAAATTCTCTGCCTTTTCTATTCATATTATCTGGAGCAGTAGCTATCAAACTTGAGCAAGCATCAGAATCACTGGGAGAGAGAACGTGGTCTACCACAGGTTGCTGGCCTTGCCCTCGGCGTTTCTGAACCTGAAGGCCTGGTGTCCCAGCCTAAGAATTTGCATTTCTGAGAAATTTTCAGATGTTGATACTGCTGCTTGGGGTTCTCCATTTTGAGGATCCTGAACTAAAGCACTATGTAGCTTTGTTATAGAAAGATAAAAGGAGGCTAGGGAGGGAAGAGGTTTCTGTTGAAATGTTAAAGTAAACTTATCTGAGTCTTTCAAGATCAGTAAAATTATCTAGACTTCAGTTTTGCTCATGTTCTCCCAACTTAAAACAATTGTTGCTGTGTTTTCAGACCTAGGTGTCTTGAACAATTCTTTTGTTCTAGTCCTCTCTTTCCAGAGCAGGCTTAGTCCTTGATCGGGAGAAAGTTGTGGGGGAGAGGAGGATAAAAAGATAGCTTATTGGAGATAATCAATAGCCTCAATAATGCTCCATGTTACATTCTAAATGTATTGTACAATGTACTGTATTGCTACCTGTCTCTTAAGTTAACATGAACTAAATGAACTCTTTTGAGGACTCAAGCTCACCAGTTTGGGGCATCAGTGATTGCACTGTGAAGTTTTCAGGGCATTTCTCACCCCCCTTCCTCCCTTCACTAAGTAACATTATCCGGTTGTGCTTTTTGAGTGATCTGCTCTGTGTGGTGTTTTCTTGTCTATCAGCATGTCAGCAGTTGACTTACTGATGTTTGAGTGCATTTCTCTAATATCCCTTTTCCATTCTGCTTTACTTTTCTATATGGGGCTGTGAGAAATGAAAGGGTTAACCTCATATGTGAATTAAGTGAAAATAGGTTGTTGGTAACAGAATAAAGTGATCTTTATAAGATTTTACTGTAAACTTTTTAGCATGTGTTTTTTTAGCCCTAATTTTTATAACATGGCCAACAGCCAAATCATTACTCGTATACCTGCATCCATTAGTTGTGTAGAAATCTAAGATCTACAGACTTTATTGGCTGTTAAAAACTTTATTGTCTAGACATGGCGCTCGATCTGTTTGTATGTGTGTGTACATATCTTATTTACTCAACTATTTATATAAAGGGTTCTATTCTTCCTTGTTCAGAACAGATGTTTGGTTAAGTGATATATAACTTCATCATTATTGGACTATAGTACTTTATTGTTTGAAGAAGAATTGATGCTCCTTTTAGGATGACAACAACAGACTGAAATTCAGAATTTCCAAGTTTCTTCCAGAAGATGTACTCTTTTTCACGTGCTGTGTTTCTTTTTTCAGAGATGAAACTTAGCTCTCTGTGTGGCCAGGCACCATTCCCTAAAGAAGATGTTATCATTTGGGTCCTCTTTGCTTCCTTGTCTTAGCTAGGAAATCCTCCCTTTAAAAACAAAACCCTGCCATTTAGTATCATCTACTCTCCTCTCTTCAGGTTTAGATGTCTTTAAGATTATTCTGTAGCCCAACCATAGCTCATTCTAGTGCTCCTCCTATTAGTGCATTGATGATTTAACTATTTGTTACTGTTCTTTTTTGAAGGAAGTTGGATGGTTTAACAAATGGTGCCAAAGAAAACTGTCACCATGGTGGGGAATGAGGGGGAATTACCTGTGGAAGGCAAGCTTACACACAGAAAAGTTTACTTTATATATTTAAGAGAGGTTTTGAAACCATTAATAATTTATTGAGAAACAATTAAATGGTATAGCTGTTTTGGAAAACAATCTGGCAGTTCTCTGACAGGTTAAATATAGAGTTACCATGTGATCCAGCAATTCCACTCCTAGGTATATATCTGTTTTAGTTTCCTAGTGCTAATGTAACAAAATACCAAAAACTAGATTACTTAAAGCAACAGATAGTAATTTTCTCATAGCTTGAGGGACTAGAAGTCCTAAATAAAGATGTTGGCAGGGTCATGCTTTCTCCTAGTGGCTTTAGGAAAGAATCCTTTCATGCCTCTTGTACCTTCTGGTGATTGCTGGAAATCTACAAATCTGTTCCTTGGTTTGTAGATCTATCACTGCAAACCCCTGTCTTCACGTGGCTTTCTCTCTCTGTATATCTCTGATTCTTGTCCAAATTTCCCCCTTTTGTCCTTACATCAGTAATATTGGACTAGTGCCTACCCCATTGGCCTCATTTTAACTTGGTTACCTCTATAAAAAACCTATTTCTAAATAAGGTCACTTACCGAGGTATTGGAGGTTAGGACTTCAACATATCTCTTTTTTGAGGGGAGTGGGGTGGGGGTGGGGATAGATACTAAGATAATTGAAAACATATATCCATACAAAAAAATTTAAACAAACCTTAATAGCAGTATTATTCATGGTAGTCAAAATGTGGATGCAACCCAAATGCCCATTAACTGGTGGTTGGATAAATTAAATGTGGTATGTCTGTACAATGGAATATTATCTACATATATAAAAGCCCAAGTGACTGTCCGACCAGTAGCTATGATGTGCAATGGCCACCAGGGGGAAGACGCTCAACACAGGAGCTGCCAAGTGACAGCAACTTTGCAGAGTGCCCTCCTGCACTCCGGGACCCCTCGGGGGATGTCGGACTGCCGGTTTTGGCCTAATCCCCATAGGCCAGGCTGAGGGACCCCACCTGCTAGAGGGACCCCGCCCACTCCACAGATGGCCTTTGAGTTCTGGCACCGCCCCAGGTGCGGCCGGCCAGGGAGGGACCATGGGCGGTTGGCTCCAGTGCATGTCTGGCCCATCTTGCCCAGTCCCACCCTGCCAGCCACCTTCTAATTAATTTCCTTTCAATGTGCACGAATCTGTGCACCGGGCCTCTAATTCAGCAATAAAAAAAGAATAAAATACTGATACATGCTGCAACATGGATGAACCTCAAAATTGCTACAACAGAAGAAACAAATCACAGAGGATCATCCTATATAATAAAAGACTAATATGCAAATAGACTGAACGGCGGGACAACTGAACAATTGGTTGCTATGACATGAGCTGACCACCAGGGGGCATGTGCGGAACATGGCGGGCATTGGCCACGGTGGGATGGTAGAGCAGGTGAGCGAGGGCACCAGACCAAGGCAGGCACCAGTTGCTGTCATTGGGGCGAGCCTCTGTTGGTTACTGAAAATTCTTTGCTCCTGTGTGCCATGGTCCCACCCGGCACTTGCACCCGCTGCTGGCACCGGAGCCGCCACTCGCACCCACTGCCAGCGCCAGCCTTGCTCACACTGTAGCTAGCGCTGGAGCAGCCACTCACACTCGCTGCCAGTGCTTGGCGCTGGTCCTGATCACTTGGCACCATCAGTGGGTGCAGGCAGCGGCTGCTGGCCCTGTTCACCCCTGAGGGCTTCTCCACCTCCCCCTGCTCCTGAGGGGTGATCGAGGCAGCAGCTGCTGCTCGCACCCACTGCTGGCACCAGCCCCAATCACTCTGTGCCATCAGTGGGTGCAAGCGGGACCGGTGCTGTCAGTGTGTGGCGGTGGGAGTGTGGCTGTTGGCAGACGGGACCTGGGACCAAGGTGGGAGGGGCTGGGCGAGGGTGCGGAGGATGGGCTGATACCTGCCCCTGTGCCTGCTGCAGCCTCGTGGACCACAGTTCCTTTCAAGGTGCACGAATTCGTGCACTGCGCCCCTAGTATATTTTAGGATTCTATTTCTATGAAATGTCCAGAATAGGCCAATCTGCGGAGACAAAAAGTAGATTGTATCTGGGACTGGGGTGGAGGTGAAGGAGGGCATGGAGTGAAGCGTGACTGCTAAATAGGTGCAGGGTTTCTGGTTGGGGTAGTGGAAATGTTCTGAAATGTATTATGGTGATGGTTACACAAGTCTGAATATATTAAAAGCCATTGAATTGTACACTTTAAATGGGTGAATTGAATGATATGTGAGTTATCATTGAACCTGCAAAAATAACTACATCAATGGGACTGAAAGATGAAAGGATTTGACATTGGCCTAGAAAAAAATAGTTTAGGGCAGAGAAACATTGAACAGACTGTCAAATTACAGTGGGAAGGCTGGGAAGTGTTGGAGGGGGGGGGGGTAAGAGATCAACCGAAGGACTTGTATGTATGTATATATGCATAACCAATGGCCCCAAGACCCTGGGCGGGGGGGGGGGGGGTGAGGGCATGTGCCGGGGAGTAGGGGAGGCCGGGGGAAGGTCAGTGGGGGGAAAAAAAAGGAGACATATGTACTACTGTCTGTAATACTTTAAACCAGCGGTTCTCAACCTGTGGGTCGCGACCCCTTTGGCCGTCAAACGACCCTTTCACAGGGGTCGCCTAAGACCATCCTGCATATCAGATATTTACATTACGATTCATAACAGTAGCAACATTACAGTTATGAAGTAGCAACAAAAATAATTTTATGGTTGGGTCACAACATGAGGAACTGTATTTAAAGGGCCAGAAGGTTGAGAACCACTGCAAAATAAAATATTAAAAAAAAAGTGATAACAAAGTAGAAATGTGTGGATGTAAAGTATCCTATATAATAAGAGATGGATATGCTAATTCGCCCAGATATGCTAATTAGTCACGACCAGTATGCAAATTCACCATCACTCTAACACACAAGATGGCCAGCAGGGGAAGGCAGTTGTGGGCGATCCGGCCCGCAGGGGAGGGCCGTTGGAGGCAACCCGGCTTGTTGGGGAAGGGAGTTGAGGGGGAACAGGCCTGAGGGGAGGGCAGTTTGGGGGAATCAGGCCTGCCGGGGGGGGCAGTTTGGTGTGACCAGACCCCCAGGGGAGGG